AACATAATTTTTAGTGGTATAATAGTAGTATTTTTGCCCGATAGGTGGCGCTTTTTAGCATGGCTATGTTGGCAGTTAAACATTTGTGCATCAATCTTTGAAAGTCTGTGCATCAGTGGGTGATACACAGAAATCTGTGCATCACTTCGTGATATAAGGTGCCTAAAGTGGATTTGCACCGGCCTAATCATGGGTGATACTCCATTACTATAGTATTAGGAGTGATTAGGAGGATTAATGGTTAGGGTTAGGATTATCAATCATTAATCATTAAAGGGACAGTAGCCTCTAGGATTTAACTGCATACAACTGTACTTACTGTATAACAAATCGTCTATACCCACACGTATTTGTTACCAGATACCTAATTTAATTGTTATAATTAATTACACATCAACGCTACGAAATTTGAACGGCGCCATGACACCCGCGACCGTGCTGCCACCCCGAAAAAGTTATTTATACCTAAATGCTATTTAACAGAACGATATTCATTTTAGGGCAAATTTATCCATATTATAACTGAAACTATATGTCGTTTATAAGATATTACAATCCTTTTGCTTTTAAATGAATAAATAAGAAACACCCTCGGTCTGTAGCCCTTGGCTAAAAAGTGGTTTTGCGCAACTTATCAGATCGTGCACTTTGAGTGGCGCCACCATCGCTGTAATCAAACTGTAGTCGTTAGTTTTAAAACATTAAAAAAAAAATTCCTAATTGTGATTGAACCATGAGACTTTTTATGTAGCGTAATTATAACCTAAATTAGCTGAAAATAACCCTAGAACCTAGAGTAAACTCTCCCTTTAATGATATCAAACTAAGTTTGGAACACTCCTAATGCAGTATTAAATGGAGCTCAGCGTTAGCCGGCCTAATGCAGATACAATAATGTAACCCAAACACGGGACCCTATCTAGCCACAAGTTCCTTTCTCGCTTAACACTACGTTGGTGAGAGGATCACAAGCCGACGCAATAGAATATTGTTCGGCATGACGTGCGCTGCTATTAAACGTAAAATTATCTAACTTTACCCCTCCTTCGAGTTGCTGTGCATGAGAATTTGTGGCTTGGCAACGCCACACGATGGTAAATACAGGGATGAGATTGGATAATTTAATTTTCAGCTGAAATTTTAATTAGCAAACAGAGGAGCGAGCAATGCGAGGACCGTAGGTCATCGCCATGGTAGGGGGGTCCGGGGGCATGCTCCCCCGGAATTTATTTCAAAGAATGGTGCAATTTGGTGCATTCTAAGCTATTCTGAACAAATTATAGGAGACTCTTGAATCACCTTTTCAAGTTGTCAAAAGGAACAACGAACTATAATAGGAAATCAGGGGGCTGAAAATAGGGCAAGTTTTTTTATTAAATGTCTAGACATAATAATATGTTTCTGTTTCCACCCGCCGCTTGCATTGTTTTACTCAGACATAAGCTGCCTTGCTGCGACCAGATTTGAATGAAAAAAAACACAATGCGAATGGAACAATCAGTGCATAGTCATGCACACAACATGCACACAGCAACATGTAAACCCGGCCCCCAGGCCAGGCATGGGCGTTCTGTGATCAGCTACCTCAAATGTCTGCCCATCTACTGCAGCCTGTGAACGAGGATTTTCTTTTCTGGTACGCAAAAACAGATACACTGTATACTTCGCTGTCAGCCTACTGTCTACACTCTACAGTCTACAGTCAGGTGCTGTTGAGGGTATATAATTTAAATTGTTACATTGTTACCCCCCTCCCAATTTTCTCAACGAATTTAGACGTTTCACAAAATCGACCCCTGGGACTGTCAAATCCGCGGATTTCCGCGGATCCGCGGAAGAATCTCATCCCTGTAAATAAAGTGAAAACCATGTCGTGCAAAAGTATGATTTATGTCAAAACGAAGGAAGCTATGCGGTTTGTAATACTACCGGAAGATAGAATAAGGACCAGTGAACAAAAGCAGCTCATGTTTGTATACATTTGTATTGTTATTCACATCGAATTCGTATGACAAAAATGTAGTGAAATCAGTACCAAATACGAGTCAAACTCCTTTGTCTCATTAACTCCTGATAATATGCATACAGTAACAGAAGCTATGTAAAATAACATGTATTTGTTCTACATGTATAAAGATAATTATATTGGAGTTTACACACATTCTATAGTGAGCAAATTTTGCTTAAATTTTATTTTATTTCAAACTTGGACAAATACAGTACGTACGGTTCCACTTGCTATAAAACAGAACGGAGACACAGCGAGCGGTTTATGTACAATTAACTTTTGGCAAAACTCAATGCGTAACTATGAACTGGCTTATTGATTTTAATTCAGTGTAATTGTTGACGAGTGGCAGTGTTTATAAATCTTCTCAGAGATAAAATGTTGCTTGCATAAACAAACATCCCCTACAAATTACGCGTGTCATTCTGAATTGAATAATGTTAATTGGACCAAAGAATTTTGTACGAATTACATAATACAAATTATACAACGGAAATTAAAGGGAATAAAGAGAAATATTAAGACCAGATGTTTTTGTACGAATTAGGTCATCTACGAATAAAGTGATGACGAATTAAGCGAGGTTGACTGTAATATTAGTTATCATAGTAATTTTAATGCCATCTCAGTGTTTTAAAATGTCCAGAATGCAGGGCCCCTGAAAACCCCTGACCAGGACTCTGCCCTGGACCCGCCGTGGCCTGCGGCCTCGTCACCCTAGCTAATTTCAATTTTAGCTGAAAATTAATCCCTTGCAGGTAACCGACTTTTACGAACATCTCATAAACAGCGATGCGCAAGCTGACTTCAGTTGCTGCAACAAACCACACACAGTAACATCGGATGTGTTGTCACCAACAGCATATATGACAGTGGTGGCTCCTCGTTTTCTAAAAACGAAACGCTCGAGATTGACGAAATGCTGGCCACCATTCCTGATGTGATGGTTCAGCAGTCAGCAGAAGAAGACACTGCGATGGAGCGTGGATGCCTTGATGAAAGCATTCGGGAGATACTCCCTGACCAGTGTCCTCTGTCAGTCGAGGACTTGCTAGCCGAGCTGCTGTCAATAGATTTGGTGACTCCTATTCAGCTGCAGTTGATTGCTATTGGTGACACTCTACTTCATTCTGGGAAAGAGAGGATGCAAAATTTCATTAATCAAAACTGGATTGATATTTGTAATAGCTTCGCGCAGCATTTATTGCAACTCAAGCCAGAAACACCAATCAAATTCAAAGATCTTACCAGCTTCAACACCAGCAGACACATCTTCCTGGGTTCTGACACATACAGGCAAAGCTGTGCATCACTGATGAGATGTACCCTGAGACAGCTAGATGCCAGCCAAATGCTGTTCAGCTGCACAGCCACCGACATCATTGGTCGCACAGTCTTGGAAACAGCATCTTCTCATGCCCTGAAAAAGCAGCAAGCTCAACTTGACATTCTTCCACTGGATGAACTACAGCTAAGCGCAGAGAGAATTGGAAAGATACGGCATGTGGCTGGTCGATGTGTAGCCAACCTTACATCTAAACATCGCAACAGTTGGCGAGACCTCATGTATGCTGAAGGGTCACAGCCAGCAAGACTGGAAGAGACTGCTCAGAAGCAGAATATACGGCAGTCACTGTACAACATAAGTGACAATGCCTTCCAGTTTTTCTTGCTACTAGAGAAACACCGTGCACATTTTGAAACCAAAGGCCGGTTTGATCTCGAGCAACATGATGTCATTTCTGTTGTTGAAGCTCAACTTCTTGAAACAGCTGAGTTGAAGGAGACATGGAGGGCATTATTTCTTTACACGGATCTTACAGAAAGTGCCAGGCTTGATACTCTTTTTCGGAAGATCGTCCAATCATTTGTCCTGGTTGCAAGCAACTACTTCAGAAAAGAACTCATCAGGTCCTACGGTAAAAAGAAAATGCAGTCCCACAGGCGGCAAATTCAAGTGGAACACCAGAAAGAGAAACACCTAATTGCTAAACTGTCTTCGGCCACAATTGCAGCAGGCACATTAGAAAGGAAACAACTGACGCATCTTCAACTCCAGAGCATTTTAAGATCCAACCCCAACTTCTTCTCTGCTCGCACATATTCAAAGGAAGAGCTAAAAACATTTTTCAAGGCCTACACTCTACCATGGCAAACACAGAGATCGAAAACACAACTTGCGGAGGACCTCAGCGCAAAAATACTTGCAGTAGACAGCATGTCAGAACCAAATACATTTGGAGCATCTTCACCCGTTAGCTCGACTGCAGTTGTCCTGCCAGCAATTTGTCGTGAGCCACAGCCTGGTCCCTCGGGTATTCAACACCCTATAATCATGCCAACAATAGAACCTCAACCATCTACAACAAAAAGGCCAGCTGCTGGAAAAGGGAAAGGGAAAGGAAAGCGCTCCAGGCCAGAACGAAAGATCGTACAAGAACCGGCTTACATCTGCCCAACATGCAGCAAGGATGTGGGGGACTCCCCCTGTGTTGGTTGTGACGTATGTGGAGGTTGGCTACACAGAGCATGTGCTGGCTTACTCGATGATGAAAATTGGTCTGAAGTTTCTGCAAGTGACGAGCCATGGACATGCCCAAAATGCTTTAAAATGCAACAGTAAACAATAGATCAATTGTTGTGTAACCATAACCCTAACAAGTATTCGTACCTGGAGAATAATACTTGTGTTCAGCTACGCATCACTCTTCTATTTCTTCGGATTGATGGGTTTCTGCACTCGAAATGAGAAGGGCTCTGCTGCTACTCCAGTGTTGCAATGACTGTTGTTTACAGTGTCTGCGGTTAATATGATGGTGTTCATACCATACATGAACTGCTTGTAGTTGGGGTTGTCATTGGCCCCATGCAAAATGGCTCTCTGCTGGCAGAAGATGTTTTCGACTGAGTCGCTGTTGATTTGAGCAGCATTTATGCTTGTGCCCGGATGGGTTTTCTGTTTCTGGCGAACAAGACTTCCAAAGCCCAGAATGGCCGACTTCATGTAGAAGCGTGTCTCCTGTGACATCAACTTTCTTCGCTTCACGATGGCAGTGTCCTGTAGATCGCTCATCACGGCATCCTCCCATGATGTGAACCATTGCAGTGCTCTCGCATTGCAATGGAGCCGATAGTCTTCTACTGATGTTATAGGACGCGTGTCGACGAAGTTTGCAATCAGAACACTGGTTGCTTCCAGCAGCTGTATCGCACCGTTGAGCGAATCTCCATTTCGACCTACAGCTTTCTGGTAAGCCTAGTGAAAAGTCATGATTTCATTACGACACCACATGCACATGTACATGTACGGGGCATGAAATTCCGATTTTTTCTGTACCGGCCCATAGCGGTTTTTTTCATTTTTTTTTTACCAGCAATCACTATAATTTACTAGCCATCACAAATTTGGTTTTTTATCAAAAATAAAGATAAGACTCTCTGACTTTTGTTTGTCCGAAAAATGTTGTAGTATGCGGCATAATGTAATAGCTGTTGAACAGACTATAAGTATAATGCAAATCGTGAATGATGTTCACTATATTACAAAAATCTAAGCGTAAAAGATAAATATGTTTTTACTTTGAACAGATGAAGCATTTCCTTGCCGAGGACATCTTCTGCCAGTTTATTTCTCATCTTCTGACCATTGTTTGGCCAGATGTGCTCATCCGTCAGGACATGGTGTATCCTTGAGACCTCGCTCGGGTTCGCTGCCCGGTCCCACTGATAGGCTTTCACCCACATTTCCCAGGTAATAAAGCCTGCCTGATGCGACAGCAGTCTGGTGCTATTTATTCCAAATCCACTTTTGATAATATTATTTCTAATTTTCTTGAAGAGGTGCTAAAGTGTAAAAACATACAATATTTTAAGGATATTAAATTCTGAGCCTAGAAAATAACATCTTGTGTAACATGATGGACTGATTTCTCTGTGGGAAAGGTTTTATCTGAAATGATCTGCGATATGGATATGTATGTTTTAGTACTATACCTTCGGATCCATCATCATGACGAGTGGCAGATGTGGCAAGCAGGCATTGTGTGTGGCGAAGGAAGCTGACACTGCCGCAGAATTGGAGCCATTGAAATGCATTTTTAGAAAGGACCTGTTATGGACAGCACCACCGAAGCAAGCGTAGTTTACCTGCAAAGGTTAAATTTGTTTATAATTTCTAGAGGTTAGGGTTCACATTGTAAGCTTTCACTCACTGATTAGCTGTCTTTATATGGAAGTTAGTATAGAAGTTCATTCCTGGCAAGTGTGGTATCCTTATACCTTGTACAGCATTGAGCACTACGTCCATACATTTAAAACCTATTATGCGTTCCCCTTTTCCCCATACTGTAATCTACTGCTGTAAAAAATGTGTTTGCTAGCTAAAACAGTCTTTCTATGTAGCATTTTGCTTATATCATGCAAAATATTTACTCACACTGAACCCCCATTCAATCAGTCCACGCACAGCTTTCCAGAAAAGGACGTATATCTCTGGTGCTGTTGTTTCTGCCGTCGGCACATGCATAAACGGGAAGCGAAAGCCACTGTCCCCTTGGTACATGAACAGCAAGACATGTGTGGCGAGTTGCGCTGATGCCTTACCTGGAGAATAGTAAATTGTGGCAAAAAAACATGTTTTTAAATTGAGAGTAATGAGGCTAAATGTGTCACAAAATTTATATTGATTTAGATTAACAAGCATACAAAGACCTAAATATTTAACATGTTCTTACCTTCTTTCAGTACTCGCATAGCAGAGCATTCAGCTCCCATGTCGACCAGCCCGACGATCTTCACTTTGCCTTCAGAGTATATGATCTGAAGGTCGGACTGAATCGACATCTCGTCGAAAACTATGCCTCCAGTCATGCCATGTGGTGGCACTTGCTTGGACTTTGCTTCCTCGTGCATCCAGCGGAGCATATCTTTGTTGAGTCCAGCCTTCTGGTGAACTGAGTTTTTATAATAACGAAGTAGGCGTCCACTTGGCAGTGTAACTAACATGCCAAGTGACGACAGCTTCTTGTAGGTGCGAGGATTGCTGGCCCACAGCGTCAGACATGCCTTCACAACCCTATGTGTTAGATGGTGACAAAATGTATCTTTGAAGTGTATTCTGATAACAGGAACATTACGATTTTGTGCAATGGATTACATGAGCACTATAACACACTTCAGTATGACTATAACCATATGCCTGTGAAGTTTTTTCAACAACAAGACAGTATGGATAATATTGTGATATGTGTGACAGCCACAATATGTGCTACTTACTCAGGATTCCACCTTCTGCCTCTGGGGGCTCTACCAAGGTTCTGCTCTTGGTTAAGCAGTTGATCCCGCAGCAAACTCTGGCTGTTTATCTGTGGCAGATATTTCGCCACTATGGCTGCAACATCTGCGTCGTCTTCATCTATGAGGCTCCACTCAGCATCTGTGGGTGCAATACTGGGTGGAGCCTTGTCTATGAGGCTCCACTCAGCATCTGTGGGTGCAATACTGGGTGGAGCCTTGTCTATGAGGCTCCACTCAGCATCTGTGGGTGCAATACTGGCATCATGTGAAGTTGCCTTCAGGGTTGCAGACTTCCGGGCATAACGCAGATGTTCATTGCATACCCGGCAGCCTGTGCCTTTTGAACGTGCCGGTTTTAGCCAAGAGCAAGCACGAGCACGCTGGCGAATCTCTTCTGGTTCTCCTTCGGCTGTCTGGAAACGCTCAACTGTGTGAGAGAAATATGGTATGTTTGCTGCTATTTTGTTTTATGCTAATTACAGTATGGCCCCGTTATAACGTTATCGTTGAGGTCCGTTAAATGTTATCACGAAGAAAGCGGGGTCGCAAAAAATCGGTGTATAAACTGATCCAATGTTGACCTAACATCCCAAACCACCCATAATTTCACCCTAGGCCATAATAAAAATATTGTTTGTTTGCCCTTACCCGACCGACCCGCCAAAAAGGTGCAGACTCAAAAAGTTTTATTGATCTTTCCCTTTCTTTCTTTTTTTACAAATTGTATCACTGTACATTATATAAATCTGTAAGCAATACATTATATGTACCAAGCAAAACAAACATTCAACATAAAAGGTAACTCCACACAAGGACACCCGAGCATCTAGACACCATGCTGATTTTGTTAAAAGACCCCCCTCGAAAAAAAAGCCTACATACCTACCCAAACTTTTCAGCCTGGGTCGGGTGAGGGCAAATAAATTCTTTTAATTGTGGCCCTAGTTGACCGGTTTTTTAACGTTTACCTTCTATTGATAGCGATAGTCACTTAGTCACCTAAGGCCGCCTTAACTCACCAAAATATTTTTCAGTTTCGGAACGAGCAAAAAAAGGTCGAATGACTCATCGCTCTGTATCCTAATTTTTCGTTAAATCAGGGCACGTAAAATCTGCATTTCACTGCACCTCGAATGCTAGTCCAGTAAAATTATTTTTCAAAATAATGATCTTGACAAGTAAAATCCATAAAATAAATTAAGACAAAACAAGGTATGAGCACCTGGCTGCACTTGGCCTGTAGTTGACTCTCCCAATGGCCATCCTTTGCACATTTCTGCATTATCGACTATGCGGAGTAGGTTGTCTACATCTCGAACACGAAACATGCCATCCCCAGGTGACAGCAGGCTTTTTTGGTCACTGGTCAGCACACAGACCACTCCAAAACTTAAATTCCAGTGACCATTTCCATACACTTCTAATTCTTTAACAACCCTCTGCTGGTTGATAATACCATTACCAACATAAGACATAGTTTTGATACTGCTGTCATTTTTCGCGACTACAAGCCACCCAGGTTTCATTCGCAATACAATGTCATGCAGGCTAATCGTGTCTTGCTGGTGCCGGTATGAGATGCCACGATATATTCTTACATGATTTTTATCCTTTCTTTTTGTAGAAAAAGTAATGGCAGGAAATATTAATTTGAGTTGTTTTCCAAAAAGGCCCTTTGATACGGTTGCGTTAGACTCAGAGCAAGACTTCAGAAAGCTCGTGTAAACATCTTGTGCAATTAGAAAACCTTGTTCATCAACGACCAGCTCGCTTTCAACCCTTATGGAATAAAAAGAAAACTATGTAAGTCAAATGAATAAGACTATTAAGAGCAGTCAACCTCGCTTAATTCGTATCAGATGGGACCACGTCATTTTCTACGAATTACGTAATCAAGGAATTAGACTTAATTCGTATTTTCCACGAATTCTATTTAATCCGTAGAAACCACGAAATATCAAATAGATAGATAATTCGTGTAAACAACGATTTATGAATGAAAGTTTAACATTGTAATAAAAAAGGTCTATATGTAAGTCGCCCAAATAACGACTTATGCGCGTATATTGTCATTTGGACGATTTACAAAGCCGGTATTTGCGACGACTTGGAGTGTCAAGCTGATATTTCGCTAGACTTTATGTCAACATTAACTACTTTTGTGACGTGACGCGACAGTTTCCAAGCGAGCTGAAGAAAACAATGCGTCCAAGCGAACAATACGAATGGAAAAATCGGTGCACACAGCAACAACTCAGGTAAACTCAGTTGCCCGATCTACCGTCGGTTCAGTTAAAATGTTGCTTGCATAAAGAAACATCCCCTACGAATTACGCGTGTCATTTTGAATTGAATAATGTTAAGGATACTCTCAAGGTTTTAGGAAAATTTTTACCGATTTTTCATTTTCAACTTTATTCGATGGCTAACACTATGTGCCACCTGTGTACATGCTCATTTCTCCATATAACGGTACATGTGAACTGCCAGAGCGTTTTGCTTGCCCGCGTACATGTGTAGCTTGAGCCGCGGCTGACGTCAGAAAAACGCTGATTTCTCCGTTCCAATTTCTGACTTAGTAGACTATATGTATAAATGGATATTTCTCTGTGATTACAACTCGGAATAATTTAATTTTACACTCGTTTTAATGGTAACATATTGCTGTAAAAAAGGGGTGTTGCTATCCCCCGGGCGTGGAGGGAGGTCACGTGACAACGTTGACGATGACGTTCAAAACGTTAACCCTAACGGTAACTCTAACCACAAGAGATCCAACACCTAACCTACCACTAAATATATATATCTCGCAGCGCTATATATAGGCATTGTGATCCACAAAAATTAATCTATGGTGTGGGGACAGATCTCATGATGCAAAAACCCTAACCCTAACCCTAACCCTAATCCTACCACTAGTGCTGCCACGTTGCGGTCACCTCCCTCCACGCCCGGGGGATAGCATTACCCGTAAAAAAGTGCATCAGGGATTGTTATTAAGTGACGTATTTTATGAGTTACTAGCTGGGCTACCCGGCGATGCCCGGGATTTTTTGGGGGTTACTGCTTTTCTGCTATTTCATGCGTTTTGTGCTATTGCTTGCGTTTCGGCATTTCACGCGATTGCCTGCTTTTGAGCCTGACTATAGTTGAGTACTATAGGATTGCTGTTCCAGACCTGCCAACCTGTGATTCATGAAAATAGTAAGGCTTTTCTTTTTTTGCAGCAGGCGGCCATTTTGTTTGTATGTTATGCACGCAATGAATGATGGGACTAACTCTAGATCACGCGAGAACAACATGAATGCGTGATCCAATATGGCTGCGCCCACAATCGCCAGATATTTCTCGGCTCACAATGTAAAAAACATTAATTTTCACAAGTCGTAAAAAATCGTAAGTTTTTCAGTTTGATCGTACATTCGTAGAAACATCATGGAATTCGTAAGGAATACGAAAAAATCGTAAGGGTTGGCAGGTCTGCTGTTCTAGGATTCGTCTTGACTTTTCTGCTGCAGTGTATAGTCGAGCGCTAGGATTGCTGTTATTGTTAACTTTTCTGCTGCGCTGGAATATTTTTGGGTGAAATCTGTTGTTTGTTTTTTTGCCCTTATTTTGGCGTTTTTGTGCAAATTGTTTTTGGCCTAAAATGGTCGTCGCGTGATGCTGATTGAGAATATACCTCACGGGTGACCTTTTACTGGTCTCAAGAAGACAGACAGACAGACAGATAGATCCGGCGATTTATTGTAGGAGATAAATACGAAAAACTCGAAAATACGAAGTGCCTGAGTGCCTGCGAAAAAAATAAGCAGCAAGTTGAGCATTTATACCTTTCAGCAGTAGTCGTGTACGACGCTTTTGTCTCTCCTTCGAAGCTAAATTTGTTTTAATAGAACTAACAA